TTGTGGTGCTCACCGAGGCACACGTCGCTAGTGAAAGTGATCCACAGAAAATCTCCTCCCTTTGTCCGAAGTTGTATATCCATCATTGTATCAACCAATCGACATGGCCTTTCCAATATTTACGACATTATATCAACCAATTTGGTTGATACAATGATGGATACACAACTTTGGGTAAACACCTGTCCGCAACGTCTTTGTATAGATGAGTCCCTGTCGGCTCGTTGTAAGTAGCACGACCGCGCATCGAGGGGGATCTAGCCCTACGTTCGGAGCCCTGTCGCGATCGGAACCATGCAGCGCACTGTCTTTGACGCAACGAGAAACTTGCAGCTGGTACGTGCCAGTACAAGTCGTCGGGTCCGTCGTCTCTGCGACTCCATCGACTCACTTTTCAATCGACTCGCCAAGCGCAACATCAACACTAGCACCATGAAGCTCTCGTACTTGCCCTCCTCGCCTTTGCCTTGGACGCTGTCTCGGGTGCGAGCACGCCTGGTGTCGCTGCCGGCGTCACGGGCGGTGGCAACGCAGCACCCGTCTACCCCAAAAACACCAACGAGCTCAAGGCGTACCTCCAGGAAGCGGTGCCCCGGGTCATTGCCCTCAATAAGACGTTCGACTTTCGCGGCACCGAAGGAACAACGTCCGAGACGGAGTGCCGTCCCGACTACACGCGCGAGTGCATCGCCAAGAAGAAAGCCTTCAAGAGCCAGGACGTGATCCTTGCGGCGGCTGCACCAACGGCACGCCCGTTCAAGTCTTGTACGACGTGGCCGGTACCAAGAACCCGCTCGCCGTCATGGGCGCCAAGACCATTCGTGGAGAGGGCCAGAGAGGCGTCATTGTCGGCAAAGGCCTCTGGCTCCGCGGCGACAACATCATTCTCCAGAATGTCCACGTGACGAACCTCAACCCGCAGTCCGTCTGGGGCGGCGACGCCATCTACCTCAACGGCAAGCCCGATGGCTCAGCTAAAGATCTGGATCGACCACGTTAAAATCTCCAACGTCGGTCGGCTGATGCTCACGACGGACGGCGCCAACAGTATCACCGTCAGCAACTGCGACTTTGACGGCGAGACCGAGTGGTCGGCCACGTGCGACGGCCGCCACTACTGAACCAACATCTTTATCAGCAACCTCAAGGTGAGCTACCTCAACAACGTCATTCAGAAAACCTCCGGCCGCGCGCCCAAAATCAACTCGGCAAGTACTTGGTGCAAGTCCACACCGCCAACATCTACGGGCACGACAACTCGGGCCACTCGTTCGAGGTCGACGAAGCGTACGTGCTCTCGGTAGGCAACTTTTTCGCTGCGACCACGTCGCCCAATCTCGCCGAGCCCAATGGCTGGATCATGTCGACGACGAACGCCAACAAGGGCAGCTGCAAGGCGGCGCTCGATCGCGACTGCGTCCCGGACGCACTTGTCAACTGCGGCGATTTCGTTCACCACGGTGCGAGCCGGCCAAGATGAAGGGCCTCGCCACAACGTTCGCGGCCAAGCCTGCTGCGCGTCTCACCTTGTCGAGCGCCAACTTTGGTGTCGGCAACCTCTAACCTAGACCTATGGTTTAACTCGATCCTGGAAGCAATTAACGCTGATTGACGCACATGCTTGTTTAGCACATGGGTTCAAGTCGTTCAACGCGCGTCTCGTGCTGAACGTAGAGGGTAAAGTCGTTGAACGTACTTGACCAATGCGTTAAAGGCGTTGCACGCGATCGCGGTGCGAGATGACCTTTCGGGTAGGATCGGGCAGCATGGACGACCGTCGCGCGTGGCAGCTCGTGCGATGGCTTCTGCTGCTAGCGTTGAGCGCACTCGTGAGTAGCTACGAGCTCGTCCTTATTTCGCAGCCTGTCGCGACGGCCGCGGGCAACGAGCTCTCGCCGCCACCGACATTGCAGCTCGAAGACGGCGCCGGAACCGTCCTGCACCACGTCAATAGCGGCTTTGTGTCCGTGTACATTAGCGACAATCCGCGCCTCTACGCGCATCTTTCTGGCGCGTCCGGGCTCGCCTTCCCGATCGTCGGCGGTGTCATCACGTGCACGGGGCTCTCGATCGACTTGGTCGCTGCTGGCTACACGCTTACGTTTGTCTCGCTCTC